CTCGCTGCTGAAACGCCAGATACACGCATATTGTCATTGTTACCACAGTACTACTTCTATCACCGAAACTGTTGAAAAGTCGTACTAATGTATTTAATAATCCAAAGACAAAGGGACGATTGTATTAAAGAACAAACCGAACTGCACCAGATAGCGCGCCGGTATCTGGTGCACCCGCTCTGCGTGAAATATAACTCACAACAGTGTTATGTTCCTGCGAAAAAACATATTGTTTTTGAAGATCTGGCGAGCAAGTTGTAAACTGACTCAGTCATTTCATAGACGAAGAGATGTTTCTCTTAATGTATTGCATAAATAGCTGCTGCAGAAAGGTTCAAGATTTGGCCGTTTCTCTCCAGAGTTTAATGAACACCCAAGGTAACGAGTACTATTGTTATTAATATGTTTCGTATGTAGCTTATATGCGTTGATTAATTGATCAATGTTACTTTGTTACGATGCCATTGCGCCCACAGCTGCAAAGACGTGGCTCGAGTCTCGAAATCTTTGATTTCATACGTTCATACGCAATGGCGTATAAAATTGCTTACCTGGAGGGAGGCGCCGTTATCGGCCCTCTTCCCACCTTGCCCCCCAGCGCCGCGTGGAGCAAGTTGGGGATGCGCCAGCAAGATCGCTTGAACAACGGCGAGGATTCGGGAACTTTGAAAGCCGCATACTATACATGTAACATTTGCTTTGGCCCCGTAAACAAAAATGACCGACCTCCACAACGCAAATGCGATTGCATTCGCGATGGGAGGGAAACTGGAACGACGTTTCGATCATTGTTTCAGCCTCCTTGCATCGGTCCCGAGGACGCGATCTGGATCCCATGCAACTTCCAGTGCGGCTGGAAGAAGTGGACCTTCCAACGCCGCGAAGGCAATCTGGAAATGCCATAATTCCACTTGCGCCGATTTGTGCCATGCCCGACTTGAGAAAACAAGACGTTGCGTTCGCGCCTTTGTGGCCTGGCCAGAGAGGTGCTTTAGCGCTTCCAGAACTCAAGACGGGCTTGGCCAGAGTCGGCGCAAGGGTAGAGCTGGCGCTTCCATAGGGCAGATCATGTACTACAAGCCCGCAGACGTCGAGCTCGAGTAGATAGCGGTGCGTCTTCTTCATCCGATTCAGGCGGCAATCACCCTGGTCAACTTTCACCAGCCGTCGCACACTCTCGCCGTGCACGTGACAGTTGAACACTCGCCCGAGTTGTCGCAGCTCCTCGGCACATACGTCGCCGCATATTCGACTACGATGAAGACCATCAAAGCGTACGTGCTGGATCAGCTCGCCTTATCAAATCATCACACCGTGGTGTTGAAGGTGGGCCAGCAGCAAGTGAGCGGCCGGCAGCAGGTGGCCCCCTGCTTCGGCCTCAGCCGGAAGCGCCCGCGCTGAGTCCCGAGGGCACGCCCGCTCGACCCCATATAGATTGGTTTATCATTTTGCCCGCCGACCAGATACCGGGCTGCCTTCCAGGCTAGATTTGCTTCCGACATTTTGTATTTCGCATCCCTAGTGCTATCTCCAAGTGTTCCACGGCAAAAAATGTTATCTCATCCGTTTCAAAAACACTTACGCATTTACATTCCAATGTAAACATATACACAACGTGCGCCCCCCGCGTACCCACTCGCAACAAAGCGTGGGAAACATGTCAGAGATCGGCCGGCAGGGTGGCGTGGCGGGCCGCGGCCAATTCGCCCAAGCAGCGCCCACACAAGCCAGAATAACTCACCTCCCGCCCGCCCGCCCGCGATGGCGCTCGCTCTTGGCAGCGCCGAGGTGGCGGCCCTCTTCAATGCCGGCCTCGTCACGCGCCAGACTCTCTTGTCCGCTGCGTGGAGGTTGGGGGAGATGGGGATGCTCGCCGAGGAAGATGACCTCAATTGGATGACCTCCGGCGTCGATGCGGGCTCCGCGGCGACGGTTGCAGCGCCGGCCAAGGCGCCGCCGCCGGCCGCGCCGGCCAAGGCGTCGCCGCCGGCCGTGCCCCCGAGTCCGCCACCGGCCAAGGCAGCGCCGCGGCGGCCAGGGGACCCATGGATGGATCGAGGCGCTGCTGTGGAAGAACACCACCATCATCACCATCACCACAGCCACCCGACCACCGTCATCTCATCTGATGTCGAGTCGGTGCGGGGCTCCCGCTGGGCGCACTACGCGTGCCTCGACCACGCGCGCGTGCTCCCGGGCCTGATGTTCCGTCGCCACTGCTCAGAGTAGGGGCCGATGCGCCTTGCGGATCTCAAATGCTTCGTCGAGGTCTGCAAGGCTGTTCGCCCTCCAACTCACGGCAGTGGCAGCTGGATATCTATCCCCCAGGTATTGGATGGCTGGGAAACGTACTACCTGGACAACACTTTTACCACGCTGTTCTTCTATCACAACCCGACCGGCGCGAGCCAGTGGCACCCGCCGAGCGACGACGTCAGTGCGACGGGTGGCACCTGAGCGCTTGAGCATCTGTTTGATTTGATTGCTGATAGTGGCGATGCTACTTTTCCTGTTTTACTAACATGCTTTGGGCCCGCCTCCCACCGCCTGGCCCCCGCGCCGCCGCTTCCGCTTGTATATCTATCCGACTGTTTTCGGAGACTCTCAGAGTTTGTTTGTTCGCTTTGTCTCATCTTAAGAAACGACGCCGCGCTTGCTCGTCTGATATGTTGCATCAGTATATGCCTTAGCTCCTCCCGCTATCTCTCTCTCGCCTTCTCTCTCTCTCTCTCTACCTTGCATGTGCTCATTGTTTCTTCATATCGTCCTCCCTCTCTCTCACTCTGCTAACTGAGCTGCCATGAGAAGATCGCTCATCTTGCTTTCTGTGCATCTTGGAACGGGCTAATGTTCACGAAGGGGCGTTGGCTTCTGACCGCGATCGATCAGGGCAACGTTGCGGTCGATTGCTTCGAGCAGCGGCCCCCTTAGAAAAAAAACAGACAAGGAGCTCTTGCCCACTGCAGTTTTCGGAGGGCCATCAACCTGGCAGTGGGCAAGGGCGTTTCGGCCTGCGTGCGCCTCACTGAACGTTCTCCAGACCTGACATCTGGCCGCGGCGATGAGTTTGCGCGGCCACAGAAAGAAATGCCAACTCCAGAAATAAATCTAGAGGTCCAGCCCGCAATACCCAGGAACGCCAGCTTTTGCCCCCCACCGCCTACAGCTTTTTGATAGTCAGAAACCTGGTAGTGGGCAAGAGCCTTTTCCGATAGCCCATATTTTCATGAACTAGCGATAGCTTCTGCGTGCGATCGATCAGGGCGACGTTGCAGCCAATTCTCTCGAGTAGCTATCAGAGCGAAGCCCAGGAGCTTCTGCCCGCGATTGGTCAGAGCGACGTTGCAGCCGATAGCATTGAGCAGATGTCAGAACGAAGGCCCGAGGAACGCATTTCCGATCTCGACTCGTCCGTCTCTCTATCTCTCTCTCTCTTTCTCTGTGCCAACCGAGCTCCCATGGGTGTCCGATCGCCCATCTCGATGTCGGCGTGTCTTGGAGGAATTATCTACGAAAGTGCGATAGCTTTTGCCTGCGATTGATCGCGGCGGCGTTCCAGCCGATTGCTTTGAACAGCTGTCAGAGCGAAGCCCAGGAGAGCCCATCCCCGATCTCGACTCTCTCTCTTTCTCTCTCACTCTTTCTCTTTGTCAACCCAGCTCCCAGGGAGCCGATCGCCCATCTTGAATTCTGCGTGTCTCGGAATGAAGTACATGTATATGAAAGAGCGATAGCTTCTGCCTGCGATTGATAGGAGCGACGTTGCAGCCGATTGCTCGAGCAGCTTTCAAAGCGAAGCCCAGGAGAGCTCATCTCCAATCTCGACTCGAGGGTCCTGCGCCCTCCTTCATATTTCCGACTCGAGGGCACGGCGCCCTCTTACAAACTGATTCGTTGCTGTTACTCAGCATCCCAATGGCGTCGTCGTTGCAGCTGGATCTCAGCAGCGAGGAGGTTTTGGCGCTCGTCGAGGCGGGCGTCATTTCAGGCCAAACAATCCACGACGCCTATCGTGCAGAAGCAGCATCGGCCGGATGGCCTCGCAGCGACTTGCCTGAGATTGACGTCTTGGAGTCTTTGGTGGCGAAGGGCGTCCTGACGAACGAGGGCGTCCTTGACTGGATGCAGTCGGGCGTGGTGACGGCGCAGACAGGACCCGCTGGCGGGCGTTCGTCGAAGCCTCGCCGCCGCCCGACTGATCCGAAGGACAAGGCGCCTTGGTACATGCGCGGCTTGAATGCCCCCATCTTCGCGAAGACAGACCTCCAGCCGGAGCTGGCGTTGCTTTCGCGCCAGGGCAACTGCGTCGCGCATGGCATCGGCCACGTGATCGGCAAGGCGCTGGATGCCGTAGCATATGCGAAGATCTTCCCTGCCGCCGCTTCGCGTGGCCGCAAATACGTGGACGTCGCCGCTGCGCTGGGCGTTGGTTTGCAGGAGGCGCCTGGGCGGGCTCGCGTCGTCGGCGCGTCGGAGAGCGGGCAGGCGCGCTCGATCAGTTCGCGGGGGACTGCCAGTCGCGGCCCCCCGTCGGGCCGCGCAAAATGATTCCCTCGAATCTGTCGGGCGCGCGGCCCGCTTCGCCGTTGCCGCCGCTGACGCCGAGCTCTCGCAAGGTGACGACCTTTCTCTCCCTGGCGCCTACCTATGTCATCAGTCTGGCAAGAGAGTGGGGCATTGCACGGGAGTTCGCGCACATGATCGCTACGTTACCATTTGGGAGAATAAGTACAAGTTTGAAACCACGTCCAAGGTATCGGCGCCGCCAAACATGTTGATTTTCAAAGTCATCATCGCTGACAAGGGAGCGCATGGCCATTGCCTGGGCCGTCGTCTGCGCGGTCTCAGGGCCGGCACGTCTCGCGGGGGGGGTCCGCACTTATCGCAGTATTCCAGAGATTTGGGGGCGGTCATAGAGGACTCGGGTGATCCCTGAAACACAGGCTGCAGAATTCGAGGTGCCAACGCAACCTGGCGACCCCCCGACGGTTGGCGCCGAGGACACGATGGCGGCCGAGATATCTGAGGGAGCTCCTCGAGACGCCGCCATGGTCGCGGCCTTGGCGAAGCGGATGCGCATCGCGGGGGCCGCCACTTCCCGGGAGACGTTCAAGTCGATGTGGTCCGACGTGACGGAGAAGTCCTCGAAGCTCGCGAACTCGTCGGCCGCCGACCCGCCTCAGTTTCACGGAGTGGTGGCTGCTACGGAGAGGCTTGCCGATATCGTTAACAAAAACCACGAGGAGTGGAACGACGATGTCAAAAGGCTTGGGATGGCAGCTCTAATGCTGTATCGGAGCAGGCAATCTGATGTCAGCCTCCTTCAGCACGTTCAGCTTCTCTGGGTGCTTCTGGGCGGGCGCGAGCTGCGGGCGCACTCAGGTCGTGCTTATTTTTACGATCATTCCCTTGGACATTTCGAGGGCTTCGACGGTCTCATGCCGCCGACCGTGCTAGCTGCCGCTGGCAATGCCATGCTGACCTTGGAAGGGTTGTTCAGGTCCTTCAAGGCGCCTGTCGCGCGCAAGGACGCGGACGTACTGAATGCGATCGATTCGTCCATCAAGGAGGCCTTGGCGCAGAACAACAACGACTTGCCGAGTGCAATGTTGACTTTCCATGACAACTGCATGTTCAACAAAGGCAATAACTTGTTGAAAGCAGGGAGCGCCGCGCCTGGCAGGCAGAGCGAACCGGGCGGCGACGGCGAGGATGCAGAGGGCGCCCTTGCAGCCCCTGCACCGGACACGAGCAATTCGGCTGACAGCTGGTTCGTGCTAACGGCTCAGACCATATCCAAAGTGTCAACTAAGCTTCAGTATGAGTTGTTGGGAAACAAGTTGGTTCCTTATTTCATTGAGTGGTGTTCAACTGACATGCAGCGGGTTCCAGGATGCGCGTGCGCTGACTGCTGCGTGTTGTACGATCGCAGCGCTTTCGAGAACGTTTGCTTGTTGTCGTCTCGTTCACCAGAACAACATATATCTCGGCATCCCGACACCTCTGCTGGACCCGGTGCTCGACGCCGCCATGGAGCGCGTTCAGCGCGTGTATGAGCAAACTTTTTGGTCTATACCCGAATCGTTCGTCTTCGGCCAGGCAGCGCAGGCATTGGCCAAGCGCGGTCAAAACATCGATCCAATAACTGTGTATTTGGGGCCGGGCGGCGTCGGCCCATCCCTCTACACTTCGCACTTGCACGCGATGTACGGCGATAAGAACCACAAGTTCTTTGATCCGAATATATTTTTCCAGGACGAGGAGATGCGGAAGGTGGTGGAACTCTTGGTCGGCGGCTGCATCTTCACCGGCCAGGAGCGGCCCTCGGGGCAGAGGAGTAGCATGCGCCAGGACTTACTCAAGAAGTTCGCCACGGCCGACACCATCGCGGGGAGACTGCCGTACTCCATCTTGACGAAGATGTACAGGATCATCGGGTGGAAGCGCATGGAGGTAAACCAGTTCTTCACTTTCGACAACGTCAACGAGCACAACCTGGAGTCTATTGTGCGCCGCATCGCCATCATCAAGATACAGTCGCGGTTCTTTGACAAGCTCTACGTTGATAAGATTATTCTCACCGACCCGAGCAGATACGGCATCTTCGCGCGCGATCCCGACGCCATGGACTTCATGATTAGCGGGGCCGCAGTTGCGGCAGGCCATAAGATTCAGTACGCGTTCGAGGTGGAGAACGGGCCCGAGGCGCGCAGAGACATTTTGGTGAACTACACGAAGTGCGGCGGTGACCATGGAGTAACCGAGAAATACGTCAGGATCGCTTGTCATATCAAGGCGGCCAACGCTGCGGAATCAGCGGCGAGCGCTGTCGCCGAGGGCTTGGTTGACCCGCCGTCCCAGGACGGCCATTTGCCGAGTTCGCCGATAGTCCTTCTCAGCAACCATTTGGTGAAGGAGCTGCAGCGGAAAGGATTGAACTACTTGACTTACAGCGTGTTCCGAGCGTCTGCAACACCTCCCGGCGCTAGGCTGAAGGGTAACAAAGAAGAACAATGGGAGTCGTTGAAAGGCAGCGACTTGTGGATCGACGTCGGTTCCAAGGGCAAGGCGGAAGATCGTCTGATTCCGCGCGTCAAGACTCAGAGAGACGCTTCGATTATTTGTTCACGGCGGCCGCCATGCTGCGATGCGATATACCCGGAGCATTGCGACGCATCGGCGCTGGAGGCGGCGCGGTGTACATCCAGATTGGCCAACGAGAAGACTTTGGCAGGCGCGTTTAACGCGCTCGCATCGGCGATTGCTCCTGCGCGGGGGCGGCCAGCGAAGGGCGCCCTCGAGAGGATCGAGAGTTTGGATGAGAGGGCACAGAAGATTTTGTCAATGACAGAAACGTCGCAGCGGCTGCTTGACCGGAGTAAGAGGTCGGCCGACCTCGAGGTTAAGAGAAGGAAGTTGGCCTCGAAGCAGCCGAGCGTTGAGAAGTCTCCAACCCGCCATACTGGAAGGAAAGAAACAGTCCCGCTTGACAGCTTCAAGAGCTACAGGCGCGCAGTGGAGTGGCCGTCTCGGCAGTACGTCAACGAGGAGCTCTCGGCGCAGGCCATGGACCAACGATTACAGCACGTGGTTTTTTCGAGCACTTTCGATTTGGATTTCGCGAACTGCGTTTTTTGTTTATTGGCGCAGATCATTGAAAAGTTGGGGATCATTGACGCTCAGCTGTTCGCGGACGAGATTGCTGCGCTACAGCGCGTTCACGCAGATCGAGAGGGCGTCTGCAGGTTGGAGCCTGAAAGCCGCCCGCGCTTCCTCGCTCGTCTCGATGCGGTTTCCTTGGCCTGGTGCGGCTTGGGGAAATAGGCCCAGGGGCGTTTTAGTCCGCTGTGGGGAGGGGATGAGGCGGAGGGAGAGGGTCCATGGGGCAGGTGCTTTGGCGAGCGAAGAAGCTTGGGCGAGCTTTCCTCTGGCTCCTGATAGGGACGTCTTCAAAATGTTGCCGTTCAAGGGCAAGCAAGTCTTGATCAAGCTGATATGCGGCGGCGCTTTGCCGAAGGAATTGTCCGAGAACGAGTTCGCCAAGATGCTGGTGAGAACAGCGCGTTTCCTGCGTTGGCTAGCCGTGGGGCTGTATCCGGAGCAGGTCAAGGTCCTAGAGTCCGCGCAGGACAAGTGGTCAGAGGCATCGCTGGCCAGCTACATGTGGCAAGGCGTTGAGGATTATTGTTTGGAGCAGTGGGTCGACTTTGTCATGGAAGAGAAAGTCAGTCACGTATCTTTGCATTTCGACGGCCTGCGCGTCGACAAGGGGCGCGTCCTTTTGAGCCAGGCGGGCGGCGATGCGCAGGCCACGGCAGTTTCGGACGCAGAGAAGGTCAATACTTTTGCAAGAAATCTGAGGAACGGATTCTTGCCACTACGGGTTATTCCGTAAGCATCAGGAACAAGGAGAGATATTATTTTATTGATCTTCTCCGTGCGAGCGCATTTGACGTTGAGCCTGCAGATGCGCCGAGCGACGTCGAGGCGCTGTTCTCTGCCGGCAATGGCATCTTCTGCGCAATGGCTGCGCTCGCGGGCAACTGGTCGGATATGTCGACGAAGGCCGCTGCCGCCGCAACGCCTCCCAGCGCAGCGGCGGCCTCGGCGGCCTCGTCGCCGCTGTTCTGGGCGCCGCCTCGGCGCTCGTATCGGACATGTGCGAGAGCGGCCAATGTGAAGCTGTTGCCCGTGGAAGTGCCACAGGAAAGTTGTCCTGGGCTATTCTTAGTGCACTGCGAGCCAGACGTTGCGCCGCTTTGCGTCGGCATCGACGTGAAACAGCGTGGGCCGCACAAGTGCTACGTCGGCAGGGAGCGCTGGAGTCTGCCGGCCGGGGCGCTGGACGAGGCGGTGTTGGCGGCTCTCGATCGGTGTATGGTAGTGGCATTTCAGATGAAGCCCGCCGATCGAGATGACGAAGATCATCGAGATAGTTCGTTGGATGGCGCATTGGATTTATTTGCGGGCGCCGGCATCGAGGACAATGTCGCCGCCGTCTGCCGCGCGCGCAGACGCCGCTCGCTCGCGGCGCGCGCCGCCGCAGGTAGCCCGAGCTCAGACCGCTCTCTGTCGCCGCCCTCGCCGGCCAGCCCAGCTGCGCAGCGGGGGGCGCCAGCTCTTCGCGAGCTCGGTTGTTCAATTCGCGGCATCGTGCCTTTTGACCGGCGACGTCTGACGTGGCACGGCAACTGCATCCCGTTCGGCATTGCGGCGCTCACTGGCGATTGGGATGGCGTCATCGCAGCTGCGACTGTGGATTCGGACGAGAACGCAGCAGCTATGGCGAGCGGCCTTCGTCGATATAATGACTGCGCCAATCTCTTTGGCGTTTCATTGCGGCCAGTGCCGACGACGGCGGTGGAGACACATGGCCGATTTCTTGTTCACGGAAAAGTTGCAGGCAGAGAACATTGCGCAGCTGTCGAAGTATTCGAGCACGGCGGCAGCATCTTACACTCAGAAGGGTTATCTTGGAACGTACCTCGAGGTTGTCTCGACGCTTGCTTGCGGATTATCCTCGACTTCGGCGTCGAGGCGGCGTTCGCTCTCGGCGGCGGGCATTCGTCGACCCTTGGCGATGACGTCGCTGCACGCGACGCCATGGACATGGTGGCCGGAGCCGGCGTCGAGGAGGAGGGGGCCGTTGACGTCGCGAACGCCGACGACGAGCACGCCGAGGAATTGGATGACGATTCATGCGTGCGCGTGCATGCGAATCTCTTGCAGCTTCTACGCGACGAGGTTACTGACTTCGAGATGATCGTGAAGTCGCTCTCTCGCACAGGCGCCACGAAGGACGGGAATGGGAGCGTTGCAAGGTGCTTGCTTTGCCCATTCAAAGAGTATTCTACTTCGTCTGTAAACGTTAAGAGGGATCTCCTTGCGCATATCGCGAATCACCACGGCTTGCACAGAAAATGCGAGAATGGTAGAGATCGTAAGATGGGATCAGGTCGGTACGTTGCTTCAGGCACTAAGCAGCGGAAAGTCATCCAGGCGTTGTTTGACGACGACATGTTATCAAAGCATCAACCGAAGAACTTGCTGCAGCGCAGTGCCGATCTCATGCGGCGGTCGGTGAGCCCGCCGTTGCGGTGTCTTGGCGTTGACAAGCAGATTCGGCTGCTCCTTGACCACGACGGGCCCCGGTTTGTCAACTTCGAGGCAGGCTCGGGCTGGAAGAAAGAGCAGGATGCGGAAAGGGGGGGGGGGGCGACATCTGTTTCGCGCAGCTGGTTTCGGCTCCGCCCGTTGAGCCCGTTCTTCGACGCGCGGGCGCCTCCCGGCGTTGCGGGGCGCCGGGGACAGAAGCTGCGTGAGCTGATTGCGCGCCCTGCCCTTTGCCATCCTACTCTTTCGTCGGCTTCGACAGGCGCGTGGGAAACACGTACTACACGAAGGAGTTCGCCGAGCTCGTCTTCCGCGAATCCATCTTGCACGAAGGTCGAGTGCGCCCGACGAGGGCGAGGATTGTGACGCGCTTTAAGGAAGCCGGCAGTTGCGTCACGCACCTTCTACCAGGAAAGGTCGTTCAGTGGTTGTCGTTGATGGAGGACGTATTCTCGTCTCCGTTCGTAGAGGAATTGCGAACCAATCTCATGGGCGAGTTGGTTGATAATACAGAGTTTGAGCACGTTTCGTTGGATGCAACTCTGCGCACTGCCATGCGCGTGAAAGGCCGGGCGAACTACAGGGAACCGGCAGAGATTCGAGCGGCGGCGCCGTTTCCAGACGGCGTTGCCAAGAGGCGCATTTTGACTGCCAAAGGTCGCACGTCAGCCGCCATTGGCATGTGGCCCGCGGCCAGCGAAGCGGCATCCGTCGTGAAGGCGGCTCTTCGAAATCACTTGCCCGAGCGAGCTCTCCGGCAGTGCGTCTCAGTGGCATCAGATGATCCGTCGGCGACATTGTTTGCAGAGCTCAAGCAAATCATGCCTCAGCTCAAGTTTTTGCGCCTAGATCCTGTTCATCTCGCAATTGTGTATAATCAGGCGCACTGGCGGAAACATTCTCCGGGCCAGGCAGTTTTGCGAATCGTTTTGAATAAATTCAATAAAGTGAGCTCAGATTTAAATGGCGCCGCGTGGGGCGCCCCTTACACGGGCCACCAGGCTAGCTCGCTGTCTGCCGCCGAGGGCCGCGCGCAGTCGTTGATAGCCGGCGGCGGCATGCAGAAGCGCCGAGCGCACAAGATCATTGCAGATCTCGACGCCAATGAGCCATTCGTGAGAAAACTTGAATTCATCGAGGCATTGGCGGCATTGACGTCCGTCTACTGGGAAGCAGTGGACAGGCGCACCCCCGCCGCGCCAAGCAAGAAGCTGGCTGATGTAATAGCGAACGCCGCGCAGCACAGTCGATGCGAGTATCTTTTTAATAATTTGCGCATGCGGCACTCGCTGCCGGCTCGCGCGCTGCCATTGCTCGGTTCGGGCACGAGCCCAAACGAAGCGCTGCGTAGCGATATCAACAGGTGGTTTAAGAACCAGCCGGAGTTGCACGCGCAGACTTTAGAGCTCCAGCTCGGCGTCAACGTGATCGGCAAGCAAATGATGCATAATTCAGCTATGTACGCCCCCACTCTGCGCCAGCTGTCTTCGCAAACTGTCGCAGCTAGCGTGGTCTGCTCGTTTGCGATATCCGCCGCCGAGTGGGCAAATCATTGCGCTTCTCAGGCGCAGGAGCAGAGGGCGCCGCGGAAAGCGCAGCTTCCGCTGGCGCTGCAGCGCAAAGCCGCTGAGCCCCTGGCGAACAAGTGGAAGGTGGATCACAAGCGCATGGTTGTTGCGCGCAAGCCAGCAGGGCAACAACAATTCATTCGCACCCTGAAGCGGCCGGGCGCAGCCAAGCAGCGCAAGCGCACGCCCTTCTCTCTTGTTCGGAAGCGCAGCTAAGGCGGACGGCTTTTCCCTTGATGAATGCTAGTGGTTGCGTTTATGTTTGAAGCTCAACTACGTGCTGCCTTGTCACTGCCTCGACGCGCGGCATTTGCGCTGCCATGCGAAAAAGAGTACTAAACATCGGGAGTTGCGAAGGCTTCGCCTCTATTACCGGAGCCCCGATTAAAATAATTTGAACTATTTAATTTCCCAGAGCAAAGTTTTTAATCATTTAAATCAGTACCGTTTCGACGAGAGACGAACCTCAGTTATTTTATTAATCATTTTTAAATTCTTTTTTTAAAAGTTTTTAAAAATATTAAATAATTAAAACGCTTAATAAGTTAATCCATTTAATTAATAAAATCGTAACGTTTCGCTTCTATTACAGGAGCCCCGATTTAAATAATTTAAATAATTTAAACCACCCGGGCCATAATTTATTGAAATCAGCGTCCTTTCGTCGAGAGACGAACTTCAGTTATTTTATGAATTAAATTATTTAAACTATTTAAATTTTTTAAATTATTCAAATATTTCATAATTTAAATAGTTTAAAACATTTAAATAATTTAATTAATAAAATCGTGACGTTTCGCTTCGATTACAGGAGCCCCGATTTAAATATTCTAAATGTTTTAAACCACCCGGGCAATAAAATATTTAATTTATTGAAGTCGGCGTCCTTTCGAAGAAAAACGAGTTTTCAGCTAATTTATTAATTAAATTATTAAAATTATTTAAATTATTTAAATTATTAAATAATTAAATAATTTAAATAATTTAAATACTTTAAAAAATTTAATTAATAAAATCGCAACGTTTCGCTTCGATTACAGGAGCCCCGATTTAAATAATTTAAATAATTTAAACCACCCGGGCAATAAAATTTTTTATTTTTTTGAAATCAGCGTCCTTTCGAAGAAAGACGAGTTTCAGCTA